TCAGATGGTTTTCGCAAAGGAGCCATAAGAGGCATGTATATCCTGACTACATGGGTTCAGTTAAGGAGCTTAAAGTCTCAACAGTATGTCAGTGCAATCGGGACTATATGATTTGATGATACCCCTGTTGTTGTATAGTCCTGATATTTTTGTGTGAACAATGATGTTAACACCAAAAAATAGAGGAAGGAAAGGAATGAGCTCAACCAAGGCTGCATGAATGTTAACAAACATAATCGGGGGGAATGTTGTCATTTGTTGCCTGTACATCTTCAAAATAACTTGTAAGGAAATGGCCATCTCTAAAACGTTGCCTCTAAGAGTTATACTTATGTGTATTACCAGTATTTACAGACTTTCTGTCCATGATGTAGTAATAAGAGTTAACGCCTTTCCTGAGGGCTGGCATGACGGCATTGACAAGAAGTTGTCAGCCATCTTGTGTATAGGCAATTGCAATAAAGCCCTTTTGAGAGCAAGAAGTCTCCTTGCCTTCCTGAGCTATGAGATAGTACATATGAGAGAGCAGATGTTCTACGTATGCATTTGTTTTCATCTCTTAGAAATCTTCCTGATGTAACACTGTCATTTGAATCGTCTTTTGTCATTGAAGTGCCCCTTTTCTACTTCCTTTCAACTGCCAGTTTGCTAAACCACTTACTCCTTTAGATCCAGTTGTGTCTGCTTGAGCTTATTCCAGTTCTCTGACAGCTAAATTGAATTTCACAAAACTGAAAATAATTTCATTTAAAAAAAAATTCTGCAGTGATTATTGCATCCTACTCTGTCCTTATCCTGCAAGATGGTTGGAGTGCAGTGAGATCTGGTAGATGCGTTTTTAGCATCTGAGTTGCTCTGCTTGGGAAGTAAAGCCACTCCCACAGAAGTTTGCAGGACTGGCACTCTGTTCATCCTCTTTATTTTCAGGTTTTATTCATGCAGACCAAAAGACATTTCTGGGTGTATTTAGCTAGTTGGACAAACCCTGGAACTTATGTTATTTATAAAGCAGAATTTGCTTCAGAAGTTTAACCAGTCTGGAAAATCTTGTTAGTTTGTTTTCAATTAGATTTCTGAGAACTTTATTACTGAAAATGTACTACTTAAAAGGTTTCTCCCCCAAACTCTCTTTGAGTCCAGTAGGAAGAGGACAAGGTCAAAATATGAACACCTATGAAATAGGTGTTTAGAAGAAAATACTGTAGCTTAAGATCCTGATTCAGGAAAGAACATTGTGTATTTCACTCAATCCCTATTCAAGAAAGCATTGGTTTCAATTAGACTTAATATATTTAACTATATTTCTCCTATGATAAAAATAAACACCTGATTATCATAACCACAATCATATAACTCAATCTGATATTGCAAACCCTTGGTTCAGTCCTTATCAGTGGCTTTGTATTATACAATTATCTGTTTTTTAGTTAAAAAATTCTTCCCTGTATATTGTAATTATTTAAACATTAAATTTTAAGTTTTCTTTTGTGTTTGAGATCAACACAAACACCCTATACACTTCTCATAAGAACATACATAATAAAATGAATGTAAGGATTTATTATTTAGTATAGTTGCTACTGAGCTACAGTAACAAATATATGCCTAAAATCATATAAAGTTTTTGTATGGGCTAACAGCCATGATAGAGATATGCATTTCCCCCTACTCTCCCAATTTATAACTATCAGCTATTTTGGGATATTGAGATACCAAAATAGAGAAGGCCATAATGATAGCTGAAGACAAGGTCTTTGTAAAAGAACTAAAAATGTTGCTTCTTTAGTCTTTTTGTCCTTGAAAGAACATCCACAACTTCTTGATGACTATGATGTCAAAAGGTTAAACTGGATGAAAAATAGTGCATTAGAGTCACATGAGATTTTTTTTTTAACTTTAAAGCTACTATATGGCATCAACTAAACATAGTTGTGAATCGCCAGACTGGATGTCTTTTCCTTTGTAATCTCTCTTCATGCATATTAACAAAGAAGGTCTCCATCTAACTAGATCAAAGTTTTCATCAATGCAATTTAACATAAAAAAAATTACACTGTTTAACTTATATAATTAATTGACATAGTTCCATATACATCTAGACACCAAACATTAAAATGAACAGCAATGTTATTTGGTGATGATTTTTTGATGCAATAAAAATACTCTGTTGTTAACTTTTAATTGAAATTTAATTCCAGCACGAAACAACTTGACAAACGCATGCTGTTTCTAATAAAACTTAACAAGCTTAATAAAATGATCAGGACAAATAAGCAATTTTTGTTTAGTGCTGGTAGAAGTTAGGAAAGGCTATTTCATCACAAGATATACTAATTTTTTTAAAGGAAGTTGAAGAACTAACTGAACAAATGTTATAATAGTCCATATTTCTGCTGTGTTTGTTATTTTAAAATGGAATTGCAGTTTCTTTGGGTACTTAGAAAACATTTCAGTAACAAAGAAGTTCTAATTAGGAACTTACTTTCTCATACTACAATTGAAAAACCACACGAAACCTTATAATTACAACAGTTACTCTGAAGTGTTATATTCACAACTAATGTGATCACATCTGTGTGAAGAATTTTGTATATATAAATACTGGCAGAAATTAGTTTCTATCACAAGTGGACAACCTTAATGAAGTCTGGGTGTCTACTACCCAGAAGTTTAATTTCATCCTGGGCGTGTCTATATGAGACACTGAACATGCAGTAGCATCACGTGATAGAAGTGTGACGAGATGCTATTGTGCAATCAGCATCAGTTAAAAGCTGTTCTGCACAGTCGGTTGCCATCATCATGTTGATGCAGCCCCTGTGATTTTGTAATGGAGTGTTCTAGTCTTAATATTAATTTGCTGAAAATTCAAAATTAGTTTTCCTCAAAGGAAAGGTTGTAAAATCATTTTGTCTGATTTCCTGTGCATCACACACTGTTATGTTTCACCCAGCTACCCCTGTGTGAAGCACAATGGTATGTGCTTGACAAAAGCATAATTTGAATTTGGCTAAAGCAAATCTTTGAGACAGCTGTGCACTCTTGATTTGAATATGACAACCAGAAATGGGCCCCTTTCCCTGGTAATTTGTTTCAGTGTTGTTTACTGTTTAATGTTGATTTGTCTGGTTTCAACTTCTGAGTAGTGGTTCTTCCTATGTCTCTTTTCTGATGAATTAAAGAGTGCTTTCATACCTAGTATTTTCCCCAGGGAGATGCTTATGCATTATAATCATCATGTCTCAATCTTTTTCTTCCTAAGTTAAACATAATTGAGATAATTACGTTTCTCACTATAAGGCATTTTCTCTAGTCCCAAAATTATTTTTGCCTCTTTTTTTCACTCCAATTTTGCATCAGCCTTCTTAAAGTATGGACATCAGAAGTGTGGGAGTTTTATACACATGCTCCGGGAGGCAGTGAGGCAGGCATTTTAATTAAAGCGGTTCTGAGAGCCACTCTAATTTAAAGCTCCCAGACTGTCATGAGAATCAGCATCCCTGCACTGAAAATATGGCCACAGGAATGCTTTAACTAAAGCTCATTCAATAAGCTTTAGTTAAAGTGTCCCCATGGCCATTTTTCAGTGTGGGGATGATGATTATATGTGGTGTGGGAGTCTGCTGGAGCACAGTAATTGCCTCTCCAGCAGACTTGATTAATTGAGTCTGCTCTGATGTGCTGTAATTGCATGTGTATAAGTGCCTAGTGTGCTGTATTTTTCTCAGCTGTGCTGTATTCAGAAGTAAAATTAACATACCCTACTCAACTCATTATGTCCTTGTTTATGAATTCAAAGATCATAGCCCTTTTTGCTGCATCATACTAGATGCTTATGCTTAATGGCTTGTCAATACTGAGTTTAACACTAAATAGCGTAGGACTCCATTTGATTTCTCATTGAAAATTGTTTTTTAGATCTGTTAGGTATTAGTTCATAATGTAATTAATGTGTGCTTTACTGGTCTAGTGACATTTTTAAGTAAAATGTTACATAAGGCTAAGTTAGATAGGGGCATGCAGGCAGAGCACTTTAGGCAAGTTCAAGCCTTCCTCTAGATTCATGTTAGTGATGACTTTCCACTTGATCCAGCTGTAAATGGTGCCCAGTCATTCATGCTGGAGTGTCAGAGGCAGCTGGATGTGATGTTAACTGCATCATTCCTTTGTGTGATGTTAGCTACAGAAACTGGTGTGAACTGACCACACCCAATGACCTTTAGGGGTAAACCATTGGGTTAACTTAAATATCTAGGTATCTTATAGCTACACAGTTAACTTTATCAAGAGATAACATGATCTTGACAGGCTCATGAAATGGGCGGATGAGAACCTGATGGTGTTCAACACCAAAAAATGCAAGGTTCTCCACCTTGGGAGGAAAAACCTGCAGCATGCTTTTAGGCTTGGTAGTGCTCTGCTGGTTAGCAGTACGAATGAAAGGGACTTGGGGGTCATGATTGACCACAAGATGAACATGAGCCTTCAGTGTGATGCTACAGCTAGTAAAGCAAGCAAAACGCTGGCTTGCATCCATAGATGCTTCTCAAGCAAATCCCAGGACGTCATTCTCCCATTGTACTCAGCCTTGGTGAGGCTGCAGCTGGAGTACTGCATCCAGTTTTGGGCTCCACAATTCAAAAAGGATGTGGAGAAGCTTGAGAGGGTGCAGAGGAGAGCCACGTGCATGATCAGAGGTCAGGAAAACAGGCCTTACGATGAGAAGCTGAGAGCCATAGGACTCTTCAGCCTGGAAAAGCGCAGGCTCAGGGGTGATCTGGTGGCCACCTATAAATTTATCATGGGTGCTGATCAGGATCTGGGGGAATGTCTGTTCACCAGAGCGCCCAAAGGGATGACAAGATTGAACAGTCACAAACTCCACTGTGACTGATTCAGGTTGGACATAAGAAAGAACTTCTTCACTGTCCGAGCCCCTAAGGTTTGGAATAGACTGCCGCCAGAGGCAGTTCAAGAACCTACTTTGAACGCCTTCAAGATGCATTTGGATGCTTATCTTGCTGGGATCCTATGATCCCTGCTGACTTCCTGCCCCTGGGGCAGGGGGCTGGACTTGATGATACTCTGGGATCTCTTCCAGCCCAAATGTCTATGAAACATATGAACCAAAATTGCAGTCTTATTAAAGAGTATAATTTGATTTGTTTGACAAGACCTATTTTCCATAACACTGTGTAGACTGGCATTTATTTATATTCTTAACCTTTCATTATTTATTAATTGAATTTAACTTTTCCATCATTTTTGCCCAAGATTGATGTCCGTTCAACCAGCTCATAAGTATGCTCTTCATCCTGCTTGCCCTTTCCTGAATACTGGCACATAAACATTGTTATTTATTGGGGTATTTGAAATTATTGCTCATGACTTGACCACATCTAGCAAATACGTGCTTTCTCTTATGCCTGTAAACATAGAAATGGTTTTTCGACTGAAAAATACCATCAGCAAACATAGAAATAAACCTATGGATTTAAAAAAAAAAAGAAGTCCTAATTGTGACATTGTGCAAGATATTAAAAATGAAAGTAAAATTAGGCTGAATTTAAAGTTCCTCTGGGGAAAAATATTGCACAACTTTACCACAGATTTACAACAGCATCAAGATCTCTGCTCAAATTAGAAAGAAAAAATGAAGAGTTTTGGTTATTTATGCACAACTCCTGAAGACAGTTAAGTTTGTACTCATAACTGACTAGTACTCATAACGGTTAATGGGATAAAAATTAGAAATAAATAGGATTAGGAGCATTTTGACTCTGTTCAGACTTGAATTTAGACACCTTTTCCAATGTGTAGAGTATCTGGATGCTGTATTTTGTTTGGCTTGAATCCTACAGTTTCGATTTGGATTTACATTGGGATTTGATGCCTCCAGGATTCAGGACTCATGAATTGAGGCCTGGGGGTTGGAGTAGTAGGTAAGCTGGAGGGTAGGGCTAGGATTCAGTGACCTAGACAAATTGGAGGATTGGGCCAAAAGAAATCTCATGAAGTTCAACAAGGACAAGTGCAAATTCCTGCACCTAGGACAGAAGAATCCCATGCACCAGTACATGCTGGGGGCTGACTGGCTGGGCAGCAGCTCTGCAGAAAAGGACCTGTGGACAATAAGATGGATATGAGCCACCAGTGTGTCCTTGTTGCCAAAAAGGCTAATGGCATTCTGGTCTGCATTGGTAGGTGTGTTGCCAGTAGGTCAAGGGAAGTAATTCACCACTGATATATATTCAGGACTGCGAAATCTAAAAGAATGTGAAAAGGGATGGGGTATATAAATGTTCCCTAATAGAATTTATGCTTTATTCCTCAGCTCCATGCCACTCACTTGGGGAATGTGGCCAGAAGTGGTGCCAGAACATGGAGCACCACTGTTCTAAACAGTTCTTAAGTGAGCCTCAATCTCTCCTCTCCATTTTGTATAAATAATTAAATATTCCTTGGACCAGATTGGGGAGACGGTCTCAAGTGGTCAGGGTACTTTTCTGGCATGTAGGAGAGTCACCTTGCAAGTCCTTACTCCCATGAAGTCAGACATGGAACATCTGGAGATATTGAGGCAGAATGATGCTAGAATACTCAGTAGGCCTGTGCGAATAGGGAAGTATTTGATTCAGATTTAGTCAATTTGCAGGATAGTGATTCGATTCAGGGATATGGGTCACTTTCCTGAATTGATTTGGCTGAATCAGCTTCAGAAGATTCAGCACTGATTTGGAGACATTCAGTGATTTGGACTGGCTGGGGAGAGGCAGGAGCGGCATCTACCCCGTGGTGTGGGTGCAGTGTGGCTCAGCAGGGTACTGCATGCTGTCTGGGAGCTGGGACTGCTGTGGCTGAGAGGTGCCAGGCTCTGGTTGACTTGTGGAGCTGCCTCAGCTCCCAGAAAGTGCACAGTGAGCTGCTGAGCTGCTCTGCACCTGCACCATGGGGCAGATGCCATGTGAGTGCCAAGCAGGGCA